AGTGGAGATTACCCACTGACTATGGCTGGCCCCCAGTGGAAGAAGTTCAAATCCAGTTTTTGTGAGTTCATTGGAGTACTCGTCCGGCAGTGTCAGTACAGCATCATATATGATGAGTATATGATGGATACTGTCATTTCACTGCTCACGGGGCTGTCAGACTCACAAGTCAGAGCATTTCGGCACACCAGCACACTGGCAGGTCAGTGAACTGCATTTCTTTGTGTGTCGCTTACATCTGATGTTTTGTGTTGCACAGGCAAGAAGTCTTCGGGTTAAACTTCTTGATGCTCAACATTCAACTCAGTTTCATTGTTGATACAGTTTTCATTTAATGCAACTTGTTCTGGGACAGCTTTTTATCTTTATTGGGTTTTTTGTTACTGACAAGCACAGCCTTATTTTAAAGCATTCTTCACCAGCTGTCTGGTACTTAATTTTTATTACCTTTAAGTCTGGTAGAAAAAGTAAATAGGAGGAGACTTTCCATCGATTCTGCGAGTTTGTCTCTGGTCATAAATAAGGGTGTAGGGATCTTTAACCTCAAATGCCAGTTGAGCCTGTTTATGCTCTGCATTAAGTCTCAAGTTGTAGTTTATGTTGGATGCAATTTTTACTACACATTAAATTGTGCTGCACATTGAGGACATGGTACAGTGTAAAGTAGCATTTCCAGTCTTTGCATTAGAAATAATTTTAAAGCGTGTTTCATCAGTGCCACAGTTACTAAATATCTGTATGGTTGTAAGTAATCGACCTTTCCACGTGAATTTTTTTTCTAATCTGTTAAATTTTGAAGAAATCCCTTATGAATTAAGTATAGAGTGTTTTAAAGAAGTATGTCTTTATATGGACAAAAGATAGGCAGCTTGGATGAAGAAGTCCTAAACCTGCATTGATTCCTGAGGAAGGGTTGTGAATGGCATTGTGTAGCTTCACCTCAGGTGAGGTTATTGTAGCAATTTTACTTTGCACAAGGTGAATTTCGGCTGTATGTGAACCTGAGCTTTTGCCACACTGGAAATAATTCCTGTTACCTTCCCTAGACCTGTTGGTTTATGACTGGCTTCAGTCCTGACTGTCCTGTCAGCTGTGAGACTCCCACCAGCCTGGGAATTTCTTATGGAGAGAGGAACAAATTTACATATTCTGCTGTATCATCAATTCTGACTACTGTAACATCACTAATACAAATTTTAGAAAAAAGCAACTTTTTACCCTTTTTACCCTTTTTGTTTTTCTTTTTTTTTTTTTTGAGTTGTACCTGAATAAAAGCTGCAGAAGTTGCCCTGTTGCATGTTAATTTCTGTCACACAAAATACTTTTTTTCAGCAGTTCTGTTTGCATTTGTTCACATCAGTAGTCAATTCTTTTGATTTTGTGTAATTACTTGTGTGTTTGATCTGAGTTTACAGTTTGTATTCTTGAAGGTTGTGTTTTATATGGAATAGAGAGCCAACAAAATCCCGGTATCCATATTTACTGTTATTTGTGGTAATTTTGGGTTCTCTGATGAGCTCAGACTTGTTCTTTAATCTTGATTTCCTTGGAGATCATAGTGTGAGATGATACTTCAGAATAACTGCGTGTCTTTAAGTCTTGCTCATCAGTTTATGCTGGTGATACAAGAACGTTCTGTGTGTGCTCTGCCAGTGCAAGCCCTCTCATGCCTTGTTACAGAAGTTCACAAGAAAAGCAAGTACACTGTTGACCTCCTTCTCGTTCTGGGAGAAGGATATTTGTCTGCACCCTTTTAAAAAAGAGTTGATTTAGAAATAAAAACACAGGAAAAAGCCCATGCAAGCGTGTTTTGTATTTTGGTCAGTTCTCTGGCTAATGTGCTTCCTCTGCTAATAAAGGAATCTTTAAAAAAACCTGCCCCTTGTTAAAATTCAATTGAGGAGAAAAGACTGGTGTGATATGGTGATGTTGGTTGTCTGAGACATTTCCTTTTGAAGAAAGAAACTTGTTGTATATTTAAGGTTGAGTGGTGTCAGTCTTACAGACTTTGATAATGGAATCCTTTTAATATTTCCTGGGCTGTTTGTAAATTCTACATTTTACCTTCATTATGGACAGGAAGCATATCCTATCTCCCAATCAACAGTAATGCTTAGAACATTACAAAATTGACAGAAAAGAACAGAATAGCTATTTATCTATTGTGATGATCAGTAATTATGCAAAGCTGGGTAAAACACTGCCAAAGTTTGTGTATCAAGAAATTTACAGTGAATATATTTTCATGAATCCAGAAAGACTTGGCAGGAGGAGGCGTCAAGATTCTTGTTCGTAAATTTTCTTCGATCAGAACCTTTTAAATAATCCTAATTCCTTTTTTTTTTTTTTTTTGTAGCCATGAAGCTGATGACTGCTTTAGTGAATGTGGCATTAAATCTTAGTATTAACATGGACAACACCCAGCGGCAGTATGAAGCAGAACGAAATAAAATCATTGGGAAACGAGCTAATGATAGGCTGGAACTCTTACTCCAGAAAAGAAAGGAGGTTAGTGCAGCTCCAGCTGCTGTGCACATGATGAGTGCTCAGGGCTGACAACTCATAATTAATCTCGGTTTTGGTAGTTATTAGTCTCCGTTTAATTCTTCGAGTTGTTCATGTTTAGTGTTTAAAAAACTTCGAAAGGTGCTTCTTGCTGTCTGGTTTTCTGAGATAAATATAGTCTCTTAAAAATAGTAGCATCATGGGAAAGTTAGTAAGAGAGATGGCAATTAGTAAAAGCTAATTTTTTGTTGTATTTCTTGACTAGTTTCCTAAACCAAGCTTGAATACATAGCAAAATTTACCATACATTGACTGGTTTTTGGCTTCTAGAGAAGATCTCTGGGATCTTGGAGCAAAGTACTGCTTTTATAATGTCAACATCGATCTCAGCAGAAAGTGTGTTTAAAGGCTTTAGATAAGGCTTTTTTCATCTGCAGAAAGCACTATCAAAACTGAAAATGCAGCCTACTTCTATTTTCTTTCTTTTGTGTAAAAGAGACTTGCTGATTCACTGCTGACAGCGCTGTCTTGTTGAAAGCCCTAATTCATTCAGGTTTCAGTTTTTTTGAGGTGGGGGGAATTGGTGGTTTGTTTTGTGTAGGGACTTCTTGGGAGGGTAGTTTTGGATTGTTTTTTTTTGTTTGTTTTTGGTTGGGGTTTTTTTGGGTGTTTTTTGGGTTTTTTTTAGACATTAGAAATAATCTTCTGATCAAAGGAAACACCTGACCTTTGCTCTTCAGTGTTTGTGCTGTTACCTGTTAAGGTTTTTGTTTTCTTGACAGTTCAGCCAAACTTAACAACTTTTGTTTTCTGTTTGTCTTGCAAAGATCTTGCAGTTTGAGACTGATCCCTTGAACACCCATTCAGTCGTGCTAGATGTGTGTACAGGAGCAGTCCTAATATGAATAATACATACACTTACCTATCAGAGCACACAAATTTTAGTTACAATTCCTTAAATAATAGTATATTGTACTGTGAAACAGATTTGTGACTGTTTCAGGAAAGGATTTGTTGGTCATACCTGTAAACATTAATTTAGTTTGTGTAACATCAACACCATCTGATCTGACTGTAAAAGTGCTCCTCACTGTGTATGTACTCTGTACCTTCTTGCAGCTTCAAGAAAATCAGGATGAAATAGAAAACATGATGAATGCAATATTTAAAGGTGTTTTTGTGCATAGATACCGGTAAGTTTCTCGTAGTAAGTAATTTGTAGCTTCATTCATTTATTTTGGAAGCCGGTGGCAGGTTATTTCTAATTATTCATCTGTTTGAACTTCCTGCCCCACTTCTCTCCACAGAGATGCAATTGCTGAAATCAGAGCCATCTGCATTGAAGAGATTGGGATATGGATGAAGATGTACAGTGATGCCTTTCTCAATGACAGCTACTTAAAATATGTGGGGTGGACTATGCATGATAAGGTAAACTGCTCTGGGGAAAGGAGCAGAGCCAGGAAGTGTGTTTTGACTTACAGAGAAGCTAACTGCAGATACTGGGGGTTTGTTTGGCTTTTTCCTTCATTAGCTTGTTACAAACAAGGATATATTCTTATGTCATTAATGTGATCATTGGTAGTATATCTGGACAGCATTTAATATTTGAATCACTTCAGACTGTGAAAGGAACTTATCTTGTATGATATAAAGTTCACATCTGTATCCTATAGTTGACTTTTAATTCAGTTCTTTATTTTTTATTTTAGCAAGGAGAAGTAAGACTCAAATGCCTAACTGCTTTGCAAGGGCTTTACTATAATAAAGAGCTTAATTCCAAATTGGAACTCTTCACCAGTCGGTTCAAGGTTAGTTCAACTTCTTATTTTTAGGTACAGTGTTATTAATTTTAAAGTTGGATTACACTTCTTTCCTCTTGAAAAATATTTTCTTTTGTGTTTTTAGGATAGAATTGTGTCTATGACTCTTGACAAAGAATATGATGTTGCAGTCCAAGCAATAAAATTACTCACTCTTGTTTTACAGTAAGTACATGTATATTTTCTTATCTGACTTGTAACTGATATTGAAACTTAAAAAATGTTTCCACTCCCTGTGGGTGAGGCAGCAGCAGGACACTTCAGATAATTTGAAGTCTTTAGAAATATCTATGCATCTTACACTCAGACAAATGGGAATTTCAAAAGTAATAGCAATCTGACTAGAACAGTGTTAGTTATCTGCCACAGTTAGGTAGGTGTATGGAATTTGGGATTCAGCCTTCCTAGTTAGAAGCTATCATGGAATGTTAACATTACACAGTAGCTGAACATTTGAGCATAACCTTCCAGCAAAAGCTTATACTTGATCAGTATATTTTGTTCAGGAAGACTTTGGAACTAAGGCTTTGGGGTTTTAGCACAACAGATTGAAGGAAAACATTTCGATTCTCCTTCAGTTTCATCTTCCTTAATAGGGTTTATAATCTCTTAACCTCTTTTTCTTCTTTCCTTCTTGCCATCCCTATCCCAGGAGTAGTGAAGAAGTTCTGACTGCAGAAGACTGTGAAAATGTCTACCACCTGGTTTATTCAGCTCACCGGCCAGTGGCAGTTGCTGCAGGGGAATTCCTTTACAAAAAGTAAGATGGAGAAATTACAGTTAACTTCTTCTTCCTGTAGAATTTCATGTGTGCATTAACACTGGTTCTCTTAATTAAGAAAAGGAAAAACCTGAATCATGAAGTGGCTTTAAGAGAGATGAGAGAGCGTAACATTACTGTAGTTCCTGAACTATTGTAGTTTTTCTGAATGGGAAATAGAGAGTAGTTTTGAAGGCTGCACTTCAAAAGCTTGTACCTTCAGGGAATATAATAAAAATATTCCTCTGTCTTTTCCTTTCCCATTCTTACTGTGAAGCATCTTAAAATGCTCATGTGGTTTGATGCCTAAACTTGGGCTTGCATAATAAGGAGTGTTTTCCCATTTTTGGTTTCTCCCTCTCCCCATTGGCTTGTATGACCATTTCAGAAAACATTTTCCTGTTTAAAAAAAAAAAAAAAATCCAACATATTTCAGATGTGTAGGAGAACAAAATAGACTTTTCATCTAATACTTTTCAGACCTCGTTCCAGTATTTCTTTGCTGCTTTAAAGTCTTGTGGGGCGATTCAAAAAACAGTTTGCTAAAGAGGTTCATAGGACCTCAAGCACCTGCAGTTATCACTGATGTTTTTAAAGCATTTTGGTATAATTATACATTCTGCTGCAAACAGTCAGTGAAATATCCACTCAGCATATATGAAATTGTTCAAATGATACTTGTCCCAAACGACTTCCTTTCAAAATAGAATGTTGAGCTGAGCAACGAGGTATTAAGTGTGTAAAAAACAGTATCTTGATGTGAATTGACTGTGGCAAAGGCAATGGAGAGGAAACTTGTCAAGAAATAACTTTTCTTTTAGGCTTTTCAGCCGCAGAGATGCTGAAGATGATGGAATACTTAAAAGGAGAGGAAGACAAAGTCCAAATGCTAATCTTGTGAAGACGTTAGTGTTTTTCTTTTTGGAAAGCGAAGTAAGTTGGGTTCCAGGGATATCTTGGTTTTTGTGGTTGTTGTGGTTCATTCTAATTTTCTTAAATTTCATTTTCTTGTTTTTCTCTTCCCCACTTATTGATTAATAACCATGAATCTGTCCTGGTTTTCCTGTTATTTGAGCAACCTGGGGGTTGAAAGACTGTTTTGCGTGGTTGTTTTTATTTGAAGGATCTGTCAGTACAGTGTTGAGACAGGTTTTGAGTTCTACTCTGACAGATATTCTGTCATTCTACATGCTGATGTATAGATGTAAAAAATCTGTGATTTAGGAGATTTAAAAGGGGGCAGTGATCAAACAGAACAAAAAAAAACCACAACCACAATCCTTACCCACCTATCTCACAAGTTCTGACAGATATTGTAGCGCTACTCTTTGTAGCAGTTGGTCTGGATTCATCTTTTAAAGTTAATTGGGGAAGAGTCTTCTGTTTAACCAGAGAGCTCACAAAGCTTGCTTTGTGTTTTTGCCACGGGCAGGAGCCAAGTGCAAGAAATCTCCTGTGTTATAGCTCTGTAGTGAACTTCATTGCTGATCAGATACTTCATCTCTTCTCGTTTTAGCTGCATGAACATGCTGCTTATCTCGTGGACAGCATGTGGGACTGTGCAACAGACCTCTTGAAGGACTGGGAATGTATGAATAGTCTTCTGCTGGAGGAGCCTCTCAATGGAGAAGAACGTAAGAGATTTTTCTAGGTCTTTGTTGATGTTGCTGTGCAGTTTCTGTTGGTCTTGATGTATAAGGAAATAAGATGTTCACATTTATGAGTCCCCATGTATTCTCTGTGTTTCCATGACTATGACAAATCAATCACTAAAACTAATTGTAAAATGTAAGGAAGAGTAGAAGGAGATCACTTCTGATGTAGGAATGAGACGGACAAATAATGGTGGGAAGAAAAGAGAAGAAATAAGCATGCAGAGTCCCATTACTTTCTTGTTCCACAAGTTCAGGCTGCACTTTTGGCATCAGAGAAACAAAGTTGCTTGAGAAACTGGTTCATTTATTGAGTGTTACAACTACCATATAGAAAAATACTGTAGTTTCTTTAATGTCAGTAAACCCAAACAAAACCTCTGGCATAATTTTGTAATTCGTAGGTCCTGGTAAATGGACCTCTGAAAATTGAAAAGGAACTAAAATGATTATAAAACCTGGTAGCTGTTTCATCCTGTCCTGTGACTCATTCAGGGATATTCCCTGCATTTTAAATACTTTCTGCTATTGTTTTATAAGGTGCTTACTTCGTCTATCCCCTCTGTCATCCCCACCTCTGGAAACGAGCTGTTGGCCTTAATGTCTGTCTGTCTTCCTTTAAAAAACCAAACGTATTTTGATTTTTGTAGAAGATGAAAAATCAAGCTGTGTGTTAACATCTGTTTCCTAAATTCCAGCTTTAACGGATAGACAGGAAAGTGCACTGATCGAAATCATGCTTTGTACCATTCGGCAAGCGGCTGAATGTCATCCTCCTGTGGGAAGAGGAACAGGAAAAAGGGTAGGAAGCCAAAAAACTTCTCATCTAGAAATGTGGGAATGGCTCTGTGGGGACATGGTGGGAAGAAGGAAAAGATTGTAGGTGTTGCTGCTGAAGGGACTGAGTTTGGAAGTTCAGCCTCAGTCTCCCCAGCCTTCAGTGTCCGACTGCCCTGGCTGGTTCACTGCTTCTGGACTTTGGCATTTGCTTAATGCTGTTTGAACTGCTGCATTTGTTTGGACTATTAAAGGTAATAGAAAATTGATTTTGAAAGCAGTATTGCTTGGAAAGGAAGACAAAAATCAATGCTGGGGAAAAGTTAAAAACTATTTTCAGTGTGCAAGAGCAAAATGAGGGATAGGAAAATACACTCTGTAGTCTCTTGGAACGAGGACAGTCTACCAGCTGGCTTTTCTATGATTATGTAGTGTTTAGGCAGCCCTCTTACTGAGGCATTAAACAGGAAAGAGAACTGCTCTCAGGACTGGTGCTTTTTTCATAAGAAACCCATTTAGATTTAGAGTGATATTAGAGGTCCGTGTGCCTAAACATTATTTCATTTATGATAATGAAACTTTGCTCCAGAACTTCTAGCTGTAAAATCCTCACAATACCAATATTTCAGGTGCTGACAGCAAAGGAAAAGAAAACCCAGCTGGATGACAGGACAAAAATTACTGAACTTTTTGCAGTGGCACTTCCTCAGTTGCTAGCAAAGGTGGGTTTAATTCCATTTCTTGCTGATGGACTGTTGCTGAAGTGTTTACAAGTATAGTTTCTGTAATTAATGGCATGGCATGCTATAAGTATTTTTGTTTTGTTACTACTCTTTATTAACATTTGCTTGTTCTATAATGAATTATGTTGTCCAAAACTGTTTTATTTAAACTCATTTCCTTGCCAATTTTACAGTATTCTGTAGATGCAGAAAAAGTCACCAACTTACTGCAGCTGCCACAGTACTTTGATTTGGAAATTTATACAACAGGACGATTAGAAAAGGTAAGGTAACACGAAAGAAAAAATCCCAGAATTTGGACTTAGTCACTGGAATTTCTGTCACCATTCTAGATGTGGTTTTTTGTGTAAATGAGACTTTATTTATTGTAACCCTTATTGAGACTCAGACTTGGCCTTCAGAGCTGTGATTGGCTGCTGTTCTTAGAGATACTGAAAGTTGGAGTTTTCTAAGGCCTGTCTGGCAGGTTTTAACAGAAAATCTTGCCAATCAGATGAACCTTCTTTGAGAACATTTATTGTTGGGTTATGGTCATCTTTGAGATGTGCTACCTGGCAGATAAAAGTTTTTAGAAATAACTCAGTAAGTTTTTTCTTTTCTGATCGCTGAAAGTGGTAAGCCACCATCTTCATGGCATGAAAAAGGGGAAAAGTGCCATATCCCAAATTATGTAGTTCCTGCTCTCATTTTAAGTGGTATGATGATGAAGTTGTCAAAGCTGTTCTCATCTCTCTTTTCTCCTTCTCACGTGCTGTTGCTTTGTGAAGCAGGTAGCTGGAAATCATTAGAGTCAATAAGTGATAAACTGTGTGGTTGCCAGCATAGCCAGCAGTGATGAAGCAGCAGAGAGCAGCTCAGGCTGAGGGCAGGCCCATAAGAACGACTGAAGCTGGCTCCAGTGCCAGCACTAGCATGCTGGAAAAATAAATCTTCAATTAGACAGCTTTTAAGACCATGTATAACTGTTTGTGTGAGTAGGAGGTAAATTCTTCTGTGTTGTTCAGTTGTCAGTGGAAATTCAAGTGTTAGATAAAACCATACAGACACTTGCAAATTTTTAATGACTTTTTAAAATGCTGTGCATCTTGGGTCTTTGACAAGCTTCTGCTTGGTTTTTGATAAGCAGACTTTGAATTTCTCAGAAGCTTCACTGCCTTTCTGTGTTTTGTGTTCTGTATCATAGTTACAAAAGTAATACATTGAATTTACCTTTTTAAATTACTTCAGGTTTATTAAAAGGCATGTGTGTATATATATATTTGACTACATATTTTTCTTCTCTGGCTCATCTTCCTTGTAGCATTTGGATGCCTTACTGCGACAAATCCGGGATATTGTGGAGAAACACACAGATATAGATGTTTTGGAAGCCTGTTCCAAAACCTACCACGCTCTCTGTAATGAAGAGTTCACCATCTTTAACAGGGTTGACATTGCAAGAAGTCAGTTAATAGATGAGTTGGCAGACAAGTTTAATCGACTTCTGGAGGACTTCCTGCAAGAGGTATTTTAATGTGCAAGATCAACTTTTCCTGCCCTTGTAAATATTTCCAGTATGTTTTTCTGCCTTCCTCTGCCAGTCAGTGAGTTAGAGATGGGAGTGCCCTCTGACTTCCCAAACTGTTAAGTGCAATAACACAACAGTATCATCGCTGTGAGTCTGTGAACACAGGCTATTATTGTATATTAGGGCAGTTGTCTTTAATTTTGATCTCCTTTTGACAGATTTCTCTTGGGAATTTGAACTTTTTACTCTTGGGTTTTGAGGCTTATGTTTTTGGGAGTTGTAGTATTGTAATTCCACTAGGATTCTCCTCAGATGTACTACTGTTGCTAGTCTTGCCTGTGATTGCATGTTGCTGTTGTTAAATACCAAAATCTCTAGAAAACACTCCCCCTCCCTTCCTGAATGCAAGCAGATGCAGTTGGTAGCTTAAAAATAACTGTTCCCACACTGTACTGATCTGAAAAGTGAGAATTTTCTGATGGAGTATTTAACTTCACTATGTGGGATCTGTGACATTCAGACAAAACTTGTTTCTCCTCCTCATTGGTGGTAAGGAGCATAGGAAGTGTCTTTTTGACAGCTTCATTCTCCACTCTTCTTAGGTGCATTGGTTTATCAGGCTCTGCTCCTTTTTTCTCTTGCTCTTTGTCCTGAACTGGGACTCCACTCTAGAAACCCTAGACAAGAAATGTTATCCATTTGTTTCCTTTTGTGAGGAAAAGAAAGAATGAGAGTAAAGCAAGGAAATGAGATGTCAGTTGGCTTGAAGGAAAATGGCAAATACTCTGGTGGAACTGTTGAAATCCATAGTTCTTTGACAGGGTTGTGCAACTACAGAACAGTAAAACTTGCATTATCTCTGCTCGACCGAGAAGGAGTTTCTTAACCTCAGATAGTTTATCCTATGTATGAATAGATACTTTTTGGACCTTTTCCTTTTTACTCCTTTTCTGTCACTAAATGCAAGTTTGTCAGAACTTGTGGGAAGATTAGAACAAATCACTTCTCTTACCTCTCTCAAAGACCATTTTCTGTGATTAAACTAAAATTGAAGTACTGACCTGTGGCCCATCTAGTCCAGTGTCTTTTGTCTGACAGTGGCCTCTGCTGGATTCTTCAGAGAAAATAGAAGCACCTACATTATACACTGTGTTCTGCTATCCTAGATGTTCCTTTTTTAACCCCTTCTCCTTCCCCCCTCCCCCCTTTCCCTGTTTCTCCTTCTGCTGCTGAGTGTTTTATAGAATTAGAGAACCGTTTAGGTTGGAAAAGACCTTTAAGATCATTGAGTCCATCTCTAGACATGAACTGATGCCTTATCTCTCTAACTCTTCTGAAAGCAAATATGACATTGATAAATAATTTAGAATCAGGTCCCCACCCCCTCACACCCTGCAGTTTGTGTGTGTGGGTTTGGTTTTAGAAAGCTCCCCAGTTTGCTTAGAGTGTTTGAGATAACCCACTGTGTGATTATTAAATAGGGGGAGGAACCTGATGAAGATGATGCATATCAAGTCTTATCAACACTGAAGAGAATCACTGCTTTTCACAAGTAAGTTCTGCACACACCTCTTGGGGTTGGTGGTGTGGCTCATTGTTTTGATTTGGATTTAATTTGATATCTCTTTCCAATGTAACTTCACGAGGATTTTTTGCTTTTTTTTTTTCTGTGTGTTGGTGGTGGTTGGGAGGGAGGGGTTTATGGTTGGGATCTTTATCCACTAGTTTATTTTTTTTAGACCAGTTAAGCTTTTAGTAGCTGTTAACCTCGAACTGCAGAAAAGGTATTAGTTAAATTACATTTTGCTTCATTTCTGTTGCTTTCAGTGCTCATGACCTATCAAGATGGGACTTGTTTGGCTGCAACTACAAGTTATTGAAAACTGGCATTGAAAATGGAGACATGCCAGAACAGGTCTGTAGTTTAAGTGTGTTCTTCAGGCACAACAACAAATAGCTTTTGTTGCTGTCTTTTTTTTTCTTTCTTTTTTTTTGGCCTTTGTCATCTAATGCATTTTCCCCTTTTGATTTCAGATTGTTATTCATGCACTGCAGTGTACTCATTATGTAATCCTTTGGCAGCTAGCAAAAGTTACTGAAAGCAGTTCCACAAAGGTATGCCTTGTTCCCGTTGTATTAGTAAATAAATATTTGTACATAGCTGCAGTGTCATCAAGTGAGTCTTGAGACTAAGAATTTTCTTTATAGTGCTATCTGCTTAATTCTGCTTTTCTAATAAGTTTGTCAGAATTCATAGTTTAGCAGTTAAATGCTTGACTTACAAACCTAGTGTTTCCCTCAGTTGTTATGTTTACATTATTTGAATGTCAACATTATGTTTAATTTAACAGAATTTAAAAGTAATTGTAAATAAATACGATATCAGGCATAATAACAATACTAAGGAAGGGTAGAATGCAAAATGTAAAAGTGTAGTCAGTTTTAGTACTCAGTAGTGAGTTGGAATTTCTTTACTAACAATTATCAGTGACAAGTCAGTGAGATCTAAGAATTTGCACACTATCAGAGTATTCTTATTGGTCAGTATGTTGCAATTCTACTTTGCTCTTCATCAGTCTTTTAAATATGTTGTTGCATAAAGACACGAGAAGATGAAGTTCAATTTCAGCTTTTCTCAGGGAATGATGAGAGGGCCTGTTCTGGTTCTATCTATAGTAATCTTGAAGGGCAAAGCTCTTGCAAATGTCATCTTTCTAATTTCACTTCTTGAAAAATCGTGGAGGAAGGATTAAGGTTTCCTGTATCCACTGGGCAGCATTGCTTGAAGAGGGTGATCAGGCTGTGTGAACTGCCTCATGGAAAAAAAGTTTTCTGAAAGGCTAAATGGTTTAGAGTGGGGTTTGTAGGTGCTGAAATGTTTTGATGATTTCTTTAAATGTGAAAAAAAGCTATAATCAAACATACTTTTTCTGGAAGCCCTCTACAGTGCTGTAAGAAGAGTGCTCTTTTACTGGAAATTTAGGCTGGAGTTGCACTTTGTTATTAGAGTTACTGTTAACCCATCTTTCTTTATGTCAGAGAGGAGATTAATAAATTCTTCAGGTTTTTTAAACACTTTACCATACTTGTAATTAATGTATGTGACTGTCACAGTTTACTAGGGAGAAAACAAAGGGAGCTCATGGCATTAATAATTTATGATTAATGAATAATCCATTTAATGTGAGGATGTATAGGTTTTTTTCTTTTAAAATTATTTTCACTTCAGGGTGTGGTAGTTGGAGCTCCTGGTAGATGCAGGAATGGAAAATCATGCTCTGTAACCAATGATTTTATAACAGAGAACACCTCTGCCAGCTTAGGGTGGTTTTCCCCTATCATGCTGAGACTTCATTAGTCCAGTGAGTAATTCCAGGCTGAAGGTGTGTTAACTACATGTGAACTGGAACACTGGCTGGCTCCTTTACCCATCTGTGTTTAATGCTTTACACATTTCCAACCCCAGATATCAGATACAAGTGGAGACATGGACTGTTAAAAAGCATTTACACGTGTGAAAGATTTGGAGGCTTTGTTAGCTTATTCTTTACAGGGTGAACAGTCTTGAGGTTTCTGTAATAGTGATTAAAGCTTTATCACAAGCCTGATGGCAGAAGCTGAGTGAAATACTGGCAGTATAGTTTAGAAATAAAGATTAACTTCGTTGTTTTGCAGTAAAATGTAATTTTTAATACTTTCACCTGGAATTGAAAATAATTTATTTGAAAACTGGTCCTTTATTAAGACTTTTTTCTGGTCCTACATAATAAATGTTGGTAAATTAAAACTTCTAGGTTTAACTTCTGAACTACAACTGTTTTGTTTTATTTAACTGCTTGACTGCTGCCAAATATATCAGGTACCTACAGAAGTTTCATTGACTTCTGCCAGTGGAATATAACAGCAAAAACTAGGCAGAGAACCAGAAGTGACAGAAATGTACTGTGCCTGAAGATTTGCTTGGTTGATTGGTTTATTTGGGGTTTTTTTTCTCTGACAGTATTAACTGTGTGCTGTTGTGAACAGGTTGACTAAGTGTGGGAATTAGCTTCATAATACAGGCTGCCAATCTAAAGAGTATATAAATAGGTCAATTTTAATAAAAATGTAAATAAATAATTCTGTATGAAGGAAAGAAAATATTCCCCTGTGTAATTCTCTTAACAACAGTGTGGTAATCTGAGATAAAAGTTTTCATGTAGTAAAGGTGTTCTAAAATAATTTTATATTTAGATTCCTGTCAAGAAGCAGCTGTTGCTTTTGTGATTCCTGTTGAGATTAAATCCTGTGTTGCACCTGCTTTTTCAAAGAAAGAGACTTGTTTCAGTTTAGATTGAAGGGATAGTTTTTAAACTTCTTTCAGGGGTATTTCATCCTTGTCTGGGCTGATCCTGGTGACACAGCTGGTGTTCTGTATTGTCACTTCCCCGGTTCTCCAGGGTCGAGAATCTTCACGTGATTAACACCAACTGTGTCACATGTGGGTGGGACTTCTACCAGTTTGATACTTTATTTGCTCAGAAATGTACTTTTGGGGAAGTTATTGCAACACATGAAGTTACATTTTGTTTTCCAAGGAAAAGGGGGAAGAAAACACCAATTCTCATCTGATATTCTACTTTATCCCCAAGAAATGAGCTAAGAAAATTAAATAATACCACATAGCCTTGTCTTTTTTAGTTATAAACAGCTGCCTAAAATCTATCCTCTAGGTTGAAAATACAGATATTTTAAAGAGAAAATGCTTTATGCTCTGGAATGTTTTTTGGGGTGGAGGCAGGTGTTTGGGGTTTTTTTAGGTTTGATTTTTGAGGGGTTTTTGTTACTACTTTTTCAATAAATAACTTCATCATTTTCATCCCAACTGCCATTTGGTTTTGCACCAGACAGGATGATCAAAATGAGGAAATTTCTGTTTGCTAATCTTTTTTTGGTAATAATAATTTTTGAATAATGCACTGGACTTGAATGTTACCGCTACATAGGAGGTCTGTGGTGTGGAATCCTCTGTGAAAATTCATGCACTGAATGTGACTATAAAATCAAAAAAGCAACACTGTTACATGAAATCATTCTCTTTGAAGGAGGATCTTCTACGTCTGAAGAAGCAGATGAGAGTGTTCTGTCAAATCTGCCAACACTACCTGACCAATGTAAACACTGCTGTTAAGGAACAGGTTAGTGACTGTTGTTTATACTGGTAGTCTTCTAATTTTGTACTTTTAAAGCAGTTGCTGATATTTTTGGTGCTTATGTGGGATTGTGGTGTGTCCTCCATGTTCAGGCTGAATGCCCTTGGAGTGTGAATACACACTGTACTTGTGTGCTTGCCCTCCTCAGGTAATGTGTGTAGGATTTGAGGATCGATTTAAACTTGATTCTTTCTATTAACTTCAGGCAGCAAAAACTTTTCTTCCAAGTGGCTTTTTGTTTCTTTACATAATGCCTGTGCAGGTGCACTGTAGAAACCTTCTGGTTTCTAAGTTTGAGTGAGAGAGTTCCATTTCAAATTTCTTGCTTACCCCACATCTGCTGGGGAGCTGACTGGGGGTTCATAGGCTCAAAACTGGAAGAGCTAAGGGGGTTGTCCTATATTTTGTGTTTTTTTGGTCCTGTTTCAAAAAGAATCACATTTGAGAAACACTTGTTCTGAGGATAACAGGGTCAAAGGAAAAGGTTAAATACTTTAAGGGGCTGAGTATCTTCCAGTCTGTGGTCAAATAATTCTTTGATCAGTTTACTCATAGGAGTTTGAGGTCCCAGTGAGGAGAACAGGATACTGACAGCAGGGTTAATTCTAAGTAAATGCCTTTAACAATCTTTAGAATGCTAAGATGAAAAAAATAATAAAAAAGAAAAAAACAGTATCTCTCTATAGGGGAAGAACCAAATTATCTTCTAGGTAGACGGTTTAATTAAACAAATGAAAACCAGGAGCCTCATTGCTTCTAAAGATAATAATAACCTGGTTGAAGTTGAAAATCTGGTCCACCGAGTCGCACAATTGCAGCTTTTGAAACTCTTGCTAGAACAAGAATATCCCTGAAACTTAATAGGCATGCTCTGTGTCAAAGAGCTATCTGGTATAATAGTCACGAGGTGTAGGGTGTGAAAGTGCAAGTAACAAAAATCACTGAGGCTGTGAGTAGGTCTCTTCAAAAAGCTGTATAACTCTGTCTGGTGAATGCTCTAGAAACTACAACTGCCCAGTTACACAGGGTACCTGTCACATAGGGCACAAAAGCCTTGGTGCCACTTTTCTTCTCTACTCTCGTGAAGGGGCACGAGGGACTTCAAAGGAACTTGTGTATTTTAGTGGCCAGGAAATTAGTAATATTCACTTTGAGGAGTTGGAGAACTGATCTGTTCATGGAAGTACTTGAGAGATTAGAGTTTCCTCGGTCAGTTAGTTTGAAGAGTGTCAGTCCATGTCAGGTACTGAGACTTTTGAACTTTCCAGGAAGGTGGAGTACAGATATTTAAAGTCTGACAGCAGATATACAAGTTAGCCAGCAAAACAAAGAGGTGGTTGGACTTTTGGAAGTAAGACATTATGACTTGAAGGGGTTCAGTGACCTCAGCTATCAGATGTTCTACAAATGTGACCAAAACAATTTTTAAAAAATTTTTAAAAAAAAGAAAGCAAAAAGGAGACTGCGTTACGGTTGGTGTCCACAAAGGTCCCTAGTGACCTATGTAGTATCCATCAGGCAGAATTCTGGAGTTTCAGGCTCTTCGTGTTTTAATCTTGCAGTGTTTTCATATTTAGTTGGCTTCATCTGTGCAGTATTTTTATTTGGAGACCCAGTCTTGACACAGGAACCTGCTGTGAGACTTTGTGCACCTCTTGACTTCCAGTTGGCCTCTGTAGTTGTTCAGAACTTCAGTGGCCTGTGGACACTGCTGGGCTCGAAGTATTTTGTCAAGTGCCAATGCATTATTCTAAATAAAATCCACTTTCCAAGCAAGTATTTACTAAGGTTTCTTTTTAACAGGCTTTCACAATTCTTTGTGATGTGTTGATGATCTTCAGTCATCAGATTATGACAGGAGGACGTGACATGTTGGAGCCACTTGTTTACACTCCTGATTCTTCATTGCAGTCTGAACTACTCAGTTTTATTTTAGATCATGTCTTCATTGATCAGGATGATGATAATAATAGTGCAGGTTTGTACAAAACTTACGTTTCCTTTACATTATTTACCTTCTAATTAATATATTTGCCTGTGTATTTCTGGGTTTTGGGTGTGGTTTTTTTTTTGTCACTGAGGGTTGTGCGTGGGTGCAGGGTAGGTTTGGCTTTTAAATGTCAGCAGCTGATCAAAGCATTTTCTGGATTGGGAACAAGTAGGATAATGTAAAGGTTTGGTTTAATAGGCACAGTGATATCAAGGGAAGAGACTTGACAGTGGACAATGAAGTGCACTGCCATCAGAATTGAGATCTGATTTTCTGAATCCTGATCACTAGCCATATCACTTCTGTGTATAAATACTTAAATATGAAGTCTTTAAACCTGACAGTTTTCATGTTCTGAACTCTTCCAGATGGCCAGCAGGATGATGAAGCAAGCAAAATTGAAGCATTGCACAAAAGAAGAAATCTCCTTGCAGCTTTCTGTAAGCTCATTGTATATACCGTGGTGGAAATGAACACAGCTGCAGACATTTTCAAGCAATATATGAAGGTAAATCTGAAGCTTAGTGATCCCTCATAAGACTACTAGAATAAAGTAGCTGTGGATTTTTAAATTATTATTTAATTTTTACCTTACGAGATAACTGATTCAAAACGTGAAGAATTCAAAACTCCAGGGCTGCAGGCTTTTAAAAGTTCTTCTTCTGTATGGAGGGATACAGATGCTTGAGATAAGCTGCACAGTTCCAGTGTGTGGGTGGTAGGGAGAGAGGAAAGAAACTTGCTAATTATTTTTATGTTGTTTTTTAATAGATTTTTTTCTTATCCTGATTGATGGTACATTTTTAATTCAGTTATTAGTTTAGCAGGCCTTTTGAGAATCTTCTCCCAAAGATCCACTCTAATGTCTAGCCTCGTCAAATAATTTAGGTATAAACTTTGTAGAAGAGAAACAAGTTTTGAATCCCACTCTCCCCACGTTACCTTTATATCTGTTTCACTCTTTCTTAAATATAAAACCCCCTTTTTTGGCTCCTGGGATTCACAACTGTGCAGTAGTCTGAGTTCTCATTCTGTGAGCATGATAAAGCTTTGCTCCTTGGTGATTACCTTAAAAAATTTAAAAATTGGGCAGCTTGCTCTTATCTGTCTGAGTGCCCTACATACATTTTGAATCTCTAAATAACTAATTAGGTCTTTCTTAAATCTGAAATACTTAAAGAACTGAACGGGCAGCTGTCTTCTCTGGAAAAATTTCAGCTGTGATGCTGTCTGTAGGTGCCTCCTTTCAGCAGAGAAAATGGAGAACTCCCCACCAGAGTTACAGGAGTTACTAAAAAGATGAGATTCTAATCTTGTACCCTGAAGGGGTGAACACGTGTCATTAACAAATGTGTCATGGCCTTGAAGATAAATAGGTCATTCTGCCTCTAAAGTAATACGAACAACAAGAATGAAAAGAAGTGCTTACTTTTTTTAATAGCAAATCCTAGATTTTATTTTCAGGAGAAATCAGTACTGAAATGTTTTCAGCTAATATTGAAAGCTAACGTGTTTTTTGTTGTTTTTCGCAGTATTACAACGACTATGGTGATATTATTAAAGAAACCATGAGTAAAACAAGACAGATAGACAAAATCCAGTGTGCTAAGACACTTATTCTTAGTTTGCAGCAGGTAAGAATTTACAATATTTTTATGCATGAAATTCCACACTGTAAATCACGTCCTGTTTAATAACTAGTGTGAGGTGTTGATGAAGGAATTCTTATGGAAGGTGGTGATAAATAGGTTTAAACTGTTTGAAAGACTGCAGAGGTCTTCTTATGCTTACCAAATACTGTGCTATGAAAAGTGTATATGAGAGGCCAGTAAATGCAAAATTAATAACTCTGTGGCACCTTCATAAGTCTAAAACAATAATTTAATAGCTTACTTATTTGGGAACAGATAATCAAGGGAAAACACTTCCTGCCTGTATGGTGGGGGATTGTGGGGGTTTTTTTGTGGGGATTTTTGTTTTGTTTTGCTTTGCTTTGACATATTTTTCTGGTTTTGTGTTTTTTTGTGTTGGTATTTGGTTGGTTGCTTGGTTGGTTGGATTTTTAACCTGAGAATTAATGGGAATTGTTAGTAATTCAGTATCAGTGTTTGGTAGGGGCTTCACACATACTTGATATTAAAATGTGATTTAATGTTCTCTTCAGTAAATGAGCTTGCTTGTGTGGAGACCTGTGTGCTTGGACAGTGTGCATTTCAAGGTTTAACTCTGAAGTGCAGACTTCTCAAGCATAGCCTTGACTTAGTTGTCCTAAACTTCCATGTTTGTCTCTGGGTGTTGTGAAATTAAGGGAGGGGAAGCTGTAAAACAGTTTTTAACTGCAGTTTAACTCTGTGTGTATTGGTCCAGAATTTGGCATAATCTTTTAATATATGAATTTCCCTTCTCCTTTCATACAGCTTTTCAATGAAATGATTCAAGAAAATGGTTACAATTTTGACAGATCTTCACCAACATTCAGTGGCATAAAGGAACTTGCTCGACGTTTTGCTTTAACGTTTGGATTGGATCAGTTGAAAACAAGAGAAGCTATTGCCATGTTACACAAGTAATTGTGGGCTCTGTGTTACTTCTGGTTTTGTATACACTAAAAGAAAAGGATCCTTTCAGTCTTTCAAAATGAGTTTTTTAGTACAAGATGCATCAGCCCTAGAGGTGGTACAACCCATTTATTAATTAAGAGATGACTGCAGTTTTGTCTCTGAGTAAAACACAAATGTTAAATAGTGTTGGTGTTCTCCACCATCGTCGTTTAAGCCTGTAAATGATAGCAGTGTTGATGCTATAATGCAAAAGTATTTTTAATCTTACCCACAACAGTAAGAACGGATCCACTTCATTGTCAGTGGTGGTTATGTTGGTCTCCTGCAGAAAACTTGCAGTGCAAGATAGACATGTCATGACAGAAAGAGTGTGTCCAGATTCACTGTTCACTTTTTTTGACAGAATATGGAAACAACCAATTATTGCTTTCTTAACATAAAGGAGAGGGATTCAGTTTTTATAGCTCACAATACTTAGAAGTTTTTCTTTTGTTTGTGCTTTTTGTGATTTAATTTTTAACTTTTTCTTAGGGATGGCATAGAATTTGCTTTTAAGGAGCCTAATCCACAAGGTGAGAGCCACCCACCATTAAATTTGGCATTTCTTGATATCCTGAGTGAGTTCTCCTCCAAACTTCTCAGACAAGACAAAAGAACAGTGTAAGTATTTTTGAAATATTCTTGATATTTGCAATGATAACCACAAAAGGCATGCATCAGAATAAATATTTATTGTATTCACCTCAGTGGAATCAAATATAATCACAGAGGGTAAATTGTATTTATCCTTGTTGTTTTCATTTTATGGTGGATGAACAGAAATAATATTGTGGATTTGTTTTTGTCAGGCCTTTTTGTTAACTACACGAGGAGCAAGGGGTGTTAATTTTAGTAGTTAACTATCTTGACATGTTAACTCTTGTTACAGATATTTTGCATCTTTGTAATTATTTTTTCCTTTTCAAGGTATGTTTACTTGGAGAAGTTCATGACCTTTCAGATGTCTCTACGAAGAGAAGATGTGTGGCTTCCTCTCATGTCCTACAGAAACTCTTTACTAGCTGGTGGGGATGATGACACTATGTCAGTGATTAGTGGTATTAGTAGTCGAGGATCTACAGTAAGAAATAAGAAGACAAAACCAGCAACAGGCAAGCGGAAAGTACCTGAAGGTAGAACTTTTCTCATCTTTAAAATTTACTAGAGTAGATATTCATATAAAGTATACATGTTGTTCTCTGTTTGTTAACTTGAGTGTACGGGAATGCTCTAATGTGTTTTTCTTAAAACAGTTCTGTGCATGTCTGTGTCCTAGTGGGAAAGCTGTTCATTTGAAGAGTCTGAATAACATAACACATGAAATAAGGGAATATTCACAAAAGGAAATAAGGGAACTGCACTGTGTTAAGTCACAGAATAGAAAAGTATATTAAATGCTCCAGCCAGTGATTATAAATCCAGGCCTTTTGAGGCACATGTGAAACTTTGTGGTAAAAAGTAAAGCAATCTGTTCTCAGTAAGCAGAAAGTACATGCATGTAACTTGTGTTTAAACATTCAGTTTTAGAGTAGCTTGAGAAAAACTTTACTGGTGTTCTTACCACGTTTCCTTCCAGCTGAAGAAAGCAGCAGTAGTGACAGTATGTGGCTGAACAGGGAGCAGTCGATGCACACACCAGTCATGATGCAGACGCCTCAGCTGACTTCCACAATAATGAGGGAGCCCAAGAGATTGCGACCCGACGAGAATTACATGGGTGTCTATCCTATGCAGCCTGAGCACCACCAAGCTCCCCTTGATTACAAGTACGTAGATGAGTAGGTCTGCTTTGTGTTAGTGTTCATACACAAAACAAGTACATGTTTAAAATAGAATAATGGTCTTTTTAAGCACGCAAGTAACGTGGATGTTGGCTCAAAGGCAACAGGAAGAAGCCGCGCGACAACAGCAGGAGAGGGCAGCGATGAACTACGTCAAGCTGAGAAGCAACTTGCAACACGCCATGTGAGTGAGAGTAAAATGTTCCTTCAGTGGCTTGGGGAGGTTTATTAAATGCAGTGTTACACCTGTGTCTTTTAAGAGGGATATACATGTTCTTGAGGTCTTGACTAGTTTTTTTTTTCTGTGTCCTGAAATTTTAAGTTGTCTTAAACAAAGCAGTTGTAAATGAACCTGGCATTTCTTGCTTTATTTTTGATCTGATTCCAGAAAAAATAGTGAGCCTTGTCATAAAGGGAACTGGTTGTTGAGCAGTGTTATCTGTAGCAGATAGATGCAATCAATACATGTAAAATATCATCTTTAGGTATTTCTAACTCCAGAATCATATTTAGAAATAGAGCACTACAGACAAGTTTTTAAATAGGTGTTCAGTGTGTGGAGCAGAAAGTTACTCATCAGCTTACATCTGCTATTTCTGTTGCTTAATGCACAAGTATTCCTTTAAAAGAAGCTGCTGTCTTCAGCATTTCTATGATTGGTACAGACTTTGTCTGACCTAAACTGACACCAAAGTTGAGAGGAGACCTGTAGTACCAGTTTTTGTAGAATTTCCCAACCCAGACACACCAAATGCTTCCCAAGTCCTCCATATTGTGGATGAAGATGAACACAAGCTTATGTTTTTAAACAAGTGTTGTCCTTCAGAGGCCATACGTTCTTACTAGAGTATCCCTTACTTCATTATGAGTCATCATATGTGCATTTTGACAAGCATGTTAATAAAAGTATGTTCCAGAACTCGTTTAGCTGAGGGGGGAGGACCAGGTTTAGAAGTTCTCTGCTTTCCTACGGACTATGTGGATTTACAAAAAAAAAAAAAAGTACAAGTTTTAAACTAAAACCATGGATAATACATATTGAGGAGCTTTGCATCTTTCCCTAATTACTTTTGATTGTTCTATTACCTGTACTTCATGTAATATAATTTCAGTGGTGGCTTTTTTAATACAGTGACACTAGTTAGTGAAATTAGAATGACTCTTTACTTTTCCCATAAGGTTTGATGTTGCATCTGGAAGTTGTGAGGAAGGAGGATGAAGGACGGTGTGGGAATATTTGTAATGGTTTTACACATCTACTTTATTGCAAAGACATTTTTCCTTGCCTTATCACAAACCAGAAAAAAATTTAAGTGGCAAAACTTAGGTTCTTTCTCACTTGAGCATTAGGTGCAAAATTAGGTGTGGTTTAGATCTGCTTATCAATTCTCACAGGAACAGTTGTATCAGAATCCCCATGTAGCAATGTACCATAGTTAACCAAGTTATCTTTGTTAGCCATTCTTCCACACTCTATTAGTATCTTCTAGCTGGTTAAATGCCAGCTTTCTTTAATAGTAGTTATGCATTTTTTTTAATTACTTAATTCCATTGGATAAAACAGAAATTATCATTTGTTGGCAGTTCCTTGCTGAGCATTAGCCTTTTAAATATTCCGATAAAACTTAAACTTCATTTAGTGCTACACAGAATGCTTTTTCTTTTCACTTCAGTCGACGTGGCACGAGTCTAATGGAAGATGATGAGGAGCCAATTGTTGAAGATGTGATGATGTCATCAGAAGGGAGGATTGAAGATCTTAATGAAGGCATGGATTTCGACACCATGGACATAGACCTAGTAAGAGATTTAGTTATGTTTTTAGTGGACTTGAGATTTGTATTTCTGCTTTAAAGTAAGATATTTGAATCAAATTTTCCTTCGGGGGAAACAGAAAAATCCTTCTTGTTTCTCTCTGCATTGTTAAAGGGCTGTGCTACTGTCAGTAATTCTTACTACGCTGCAAAAGTTCTGGTTTTCTTGTGAAATTACAGTTAACCTGTTTGTTTGTTTGCTTTCCAAAGCCACCATCAAAGAACAGGAGAGAAAGAACGGAACTAAAACCAGATTTCTTTGACCCCGCTTCAATCATGGATGAATCGGTAGGTTAACTTATGTAAGGGAAAGTAATGTCAACTCAGTCTTAAGGTTACCATACTCTCTTACTTCAGATTTTAAGTGGAAAGAATGCAATCTTCAAGTTGTCTTCATTAGCTTATTTTGGCAGACTGGTACAGTCAGAGAAATATTTTGTGCTGTAATTCAGCTTCATAAATTCTAAGGTAGTCAGTGTTCTTTGCAAGTTTATAGGATTTTTGTTCTTAATATTTATATGTAGCTCTGTAAAAATTAAAAGCCTTTGAGTCAGAGGAGAAAACAAATCTGGTATGGAACAGACCCTCACAGAGGTTGATAGCAAAGAGCATTAAAAAAAAAAAAAAAAAAAGAATTGTGCACACAGAATATAAAAGGCAAATTTCCTGTTGTGCTGAGCTTAGTTCAGTGACTGTTGTCATTACCAGTTGTCAGCTTTGGATGGTTTGAGTTTTGTGGGTTTTGTGGTTGGGATTTTTCCTTTTTTTTTTTTTTTTTTTTTTTTTTTTTTTTTTTTTTTTTTTTTTTTTTTTTTTTTTTTTTTTTTTTTTTTTTTTTTTTTTTTTTTTTTTTCCATTTTTTTTAATTGGCATATTTACTTTTGTGCATAAGTAAGATAATGAAGAAAATGGAGATAATACAGATACCTATTTATAGAGATGAGAGGTATTTTTTTCTTTCTATACAAAGTTTTAGGTCCAAAACATCCGAAGTCTGTAGTTTCTGCTTGCAGTTGCCCTTTTATCCGACTTGATAAATCTGCAGTCTCTATTCTCTTTTAAAAATCTGCATGAGGGATTCCTTCTGTCTTGAACCACTTGTAATGTATGCAGCCATTTTTGACCTTGTGTAGCTGGTACAAAATTACACTGGAAATAACAAGCTGCAGCAAGCCAGCAGAGGACAGTCCAACAAGGCTTCCTGGGAATCTTGGACAGCTTGGTGGAATTTGGAAGACGGTTATGTATTTTTTTACAGTATTGTTGCAGCGTGAACATGTTCTTGTTTATGGGAGAAAGAAATCCTAAATACTGTTCTAAATGGAAATCCATATATTTTGTACCAGTAAGCCTTTGCTTCAGTAATAATGAATCAGTTAGGTCGTGCGTCTGGCTGTCGTGTGTTCTGTTCCTCAAGCAACACCAAGAAAGTATCTCACTTTTTCTGACTTAAAATAGTTCTTCCCTTCCCTTTCTCCATTTTTTTTCTTTTTTTTTTTGATGAAATAATTGTCGGTCACTTTTTAGCCTGACAGTGCTGAATATTTGGCCTTCTACGGGTACATTTCGTTGCTTTCAGAGACCTTTTAGCCTCTCGGCTCTGTCAGAGCGGCTCTAACAGGTTCCCGGCCCTGCCTGCAGTTCCCGGGCGCGGCCACGCGGGGGCAGGCGGGGGCAGCGCAGCGCCCGCAGCCTCTCCGTGTTCGACGGGAAAGAGCCAATTTCGGAAATGAGGGGAAAAATAAATAACAAAACCTTCTCAGAATAAAGTTAACTTGCTTCGTTCTCGCAGCTTCAGAGTTGCTGCACTTGTTTTTAATAGACCCAGGCGCAATAAAGCGGTTTAATTTTTTTCAGATGCACATGGTATATGATGAAAATTTCAGTCTGTCTGCTCATGTTTTGATGTGCTCGGTTATTGCCGGCACCAGAGGCAGCTCTGTCTGTGTGCTACAGTGTATGGTGCATCTAAAGTGAATTTAATTGAAAAAAAACAGTAAGAATTGGTTTGTAAACAGATAAATGTGAACAGCAGTGTTAAGGTTCAGGTAAATTAAGTCCTTAGTGGCTCTTTCTGGTTTTGTCAAGTCTGTAAGAGCTAGGACAGTCACAAAATCTGGATATTCTGGGTTTTTTTGGATGGGGTTTTTTTTTGATGTATCAGTGCTGATATCTACTTCCTCTCACGAGGGAAGTGGAAACTGATTCTTTGTTTCAGGAAAGCTTTTTCTTTCCTTAGTCACACAGTCTCCCAAAGGACAGTTGTTTGATTTTACCTGATGATTGTTTGATTTTTTTCTTTTTCACTGTCTTCCTGACAGAGTGGCTACTTTTGATGGGAAGTGTTCAGTTTGTGTCCTGGTTGGCTGCAGTGAGGTGACCTGTGGTTTCCATAGTCACAGATGCAGCAGCAACTGGTGTATGGGGTGTTTTGTCCCAGGTTTAGTCTCTGGAAATGACACACTTGATTTCTGGTTAAGGCCAATAGAATGTCATTGTCAAAGAAGTCTGAGTTAGGCAACTAACTAAAAATTCTCTTGCAATCATGACCTAAAATAATTAAAACACAGGCGTTGTCATATTCCTACTGGATCTGATGAATTTGAAGTGCGAGTAAAATATTTCTAATTAATGAGGAGTCCTTTTCATATTATTACCTAAATCAGAAGTGTGGTGAATCTGGTTTGGAAGAAAAATAAACTTATAATGCCTTAACATATCTTGAAGTGTCTTAATCTTAAAACCTTTACTAATTTCTTTGTTTTTTTTTGTTAAATGTGTAGTAGACTAAAAATTGACACCATTTCTAACTTTTTTTTTAGGTTCTTGGGGTGTCAATGTTTTAATACCAGAACAGCAAATAAATCAGTGGTGAAGTCATTTTCTAAGTGGAAGAGGAAGTTTTTCAATACAAAATTGTGGTAGATACAGTGAAATTCTGAACAGATTTTTCTCTAAGGAGAATGACATGCTTTCAAGATCAAGTGCATTGAAGGGGCAGTTTTGTTTGCCTGAAAACAAAAATAAAAAAGAAATGTAAAGGACAAGTAAACAATTTGAGGATAAGCTACACTTTTTGTTGGGAAAAAAAATCAATATTTTATTTATGTGCTATCAGTTTATTTCCGGATCATAAGAAGTATTCCCTCTGAGTTTTAATCTAACAGTCTGAGAGGTGTTTGGTACAGATTTGAGCCCCTCTCGATACATTTGCTGGCTGTACTAAATAATCATAAGCTCTGCTGGATTGCTGTTCACATCCATGAACTGAAACAGTAGATGGATTGGTTTTCTTACAGTGATAGAACCAGAAGAGTTGTCAGTATTTTCAATTAAACGCAAACTTCAGCAACAGAAGGTTTGTATTAATTCATCATGGAAAAAAAAAATACATAAAGCAGAACTTTAACAGCTTTTTAATCTAAAACACACTTTTATTCCAAAAGCTTCATGTTAGCCTTCTCAGAAAGGTCCATAGACTATGAGCTACCAGAACGTACCAGATCTCACTCATGCTTGCCCATTACCAACCCTGAAAGTTTGCTTGTCCTTTAAGAAAAATGTAATGTTGTGAAATTCCTTCCAGTAGTGCCACTGTATTTTGTCTCCAAATAAAAGAAGCTTATTGTAGTATGTTTGCAGAAAAATTCTAAACAAAAATTATACAGCTTATTAGAGTGTGGGAATAGGGATCTAAATTTTAAATAAAATTATATATATATATAAATTGGTGCTGATTTTATAATTGCGCAGTTTGTTTAGTTTTTTCTTACTTTTAAATTCCAACTTAAAATTATGAGGTTTCAGAAATATATTGAAAGTTTAACAATGTTTAAAAATAGAAGAGCATGAGAATTCATGCTTTAAAAATGATTTTTAAATTTGTATTTTATATTGTTTTATCTATCTGTCTTTGCAAGCAGTCTTCAGGTTAAAGATACTTCTAACAGGTTACAGTACATTTCCTCTGTATGTAAATTAGATTGGATAATAGAAATTCATAAACAACCCATAATATTCTTTGAAAGCTAAGCTTTAAACTTCGTTTTGTGTCCATTCACAAATAAATTAAATTTGGTCTAAAACAGAAAGTGGATTTATGCCATTTTGACATCGACTCATTTTGCAAGGCTTAGGCAGCTAGACATCATTTTAAAGGAAATATTAACTTATATTACATATGTATATTTTTTGTCAGTTGTCTCTCAGTTCTTGAGGTATATTATTTTAATCATTCCATGCCTTAATACGCTTGCAATACAAGAATCTCCCCAAATGGGTGAATACAAAAAAAGGCTTCCTGTTTTTAGACTCAGAAATTAAACATTCGGCTGTGGTAGCCAAAAACCATAGATTATCTAAAGGATCATGATAAAATATAATTATTTTACTAAGTCATGGGGTAACAACAAACTCAAAACTAGATCTGCCTAACTCATTTTACATAAATAAATACTCTCATGTCTAAAAGTACTGCCTATATTGTTTTTCACACCACTGCATTTAATAGAACTGCTGAGAGGACTGTATATATGATTTTAAACCTAAGTTGATTTTTCTTACTCTTGAAGGAGTGTTTCTTTGTGAAAGCAGTTCTTACAGCTTTGTTTTCAACCAGCTAAAAATGTTTTATATATTTACCTTAACCTGTTGTCCTCCACATTCTATTGTCCTAATTGTACTGTTTTCTGATTTGTATTTATGTCTTGAGACAGTAACTTTTTGAATAAAAATAAACCTACAGTATGTTGTATGTTTGATCTTTTTAAATCGGGGTTATGGGAGGACAGTGAAGAAAGGGGTATGAGTAATGCAAATGTTATGTTTATAGAAATCAAAATCTTTTTCCATGTCTTTTAAGTGTTTGTCTCAGAGTTGGGATAATGTATGAAAAACTGCACTGTTTTATATTTGTAATAAATTGTACAAGTTTTTAAAATGTGAATAAAGCACTAATTGGGTAATAATTTAAAGCAGAAAAGTTAATGCAATCATGATTGTTTTAAATATGCTTTAATTTGAGATAAACTTGTTAAAAGAATTAGTGTAAATACAGAGTGAGCTTTTCAAGAGGTTAGTACCTGCAAATAAAATTTTTAAAATTTGTATAGAACTTTTACATGCCAAGAAATCAGTGGTTAATTATTTTTGTGTTACGTTTTTTAAAGGTGTATCAATAGCCTTTCTGTTGGTTTCTTTTTCCTATTAACTTTTATCTGACATTACTCAGAATGCTTTTGATTCAGACATTGGAGATGCTGTACAGAGTCCAGTGGAAATACCACTAAACGTGTATGTGACTTTCCAGCCCTTAAATTTATCATACACCTGGGAAACATTCTGAGCTTAATTGGCAAGACAGCAAGGAAATGAGGGGAAAACCCTAAACATCTCTTCCCATTCCCTTCTCCTCAACTACTGAGCACCTCTGGCTGGGTGTTGAAAACTCCTTTCTGGTACAAGACTTTTTAAAGCAGTAATTTTAAAATCTTCGAGATAATACTTCTAATCCTTGCTAATGTAACTTTGGATGTTTTGGGTTGCTTTTTTAATTTTTTTTTTCAGTTGTTACTATTGCAAATGTTCATTCCTGTCTCTAAATCCTGCTGTAAGTTCAATAGTATCTTGTGGAAAATTGTTTTAGTAGGTCTAAGTTTATAATGCAAGAAAAATACCTTCACTATACAATGTAAAGTCTGTTCTAGTTATACCATTTTGGTACAAAAGCCTGTAAATGAAAGAAATTTGGGTTTTGAAGAGAGATGTGATAAAATGTAGAAAACAGCAAGCAATTTTAGAGAAAGTAAAGCCTCTCCTCTGGTTTAGCAGAGAGGCCACAGAGAAGGTATTGACCCAGAATGAATTTCAAAGGAATAGTCTTCACATATTCTGTAAAAAGTATTTCTTGATATTAAACAACCAAAGACAATATGTAAGAAGTTAGTGATTGCTGTTGTTTGTTTGTGTGGGGTTTTTTCTCCTTTGGTTGGTGTGGTGCTGATTCCTGCAGCTCCTTGGAGCTCATAAATCCCCATCTCCCCTCATCTCTGTATAACTGAAAATCTGCCTCTTTAGAATCTGCCCCTCTCTAGTTTCCCCGTAGTTCACAAATACACTTTTTCTACCACAGAATTTCAGATACCAATTCAATAATTTCCTACCCATAATGATTTTTTTTGAACTGCTTTGATTCACAACATTTTACTGCTTTTTAACCGATGGATGCGTGACTTTTTTATAGGCTAAAGAATATCAAGAGTGTGTTCATTCTTTGAAACATTTGTCAGAATTGCCAGTTTGTGCTTCAGCATTCTGATAAAAACACAACTTGGTTCTTTAAAAATGTATTCATTCCTACTTAAGTGCTTTAATACTCTTTAATGAATTTGTTTGGCAGTTATGCCATGGCCTCAGTTTTCATTATCCTGAGTAATTTCTGGTACTGAGATTGTTTAATTTCATGTGTATTTGTTGGCACCCAAAAGGGATCATATTTTTGATGGAGGTGGACGATGACACATGTTCAGGAAAAAAGGTAATGTAGGACAATACTCTTCTGTAATGATAATTTTATTTTAAAGGTAGCAATTCAGTGTGAATGGTGCCTGTCATTTTCCTCAGCTGTCCTTCTCTCCTATATCCTTCCTTCATGTTGCTGAGCTTTCTTGAATCTGTTTCTTTGATTAAATCTTAATTTTCATTTTTCTTTAAAGTTTTAACAGCTAGACTTTGAGTCATTACAGATTTTGTAAACGAGTGCCTTCCAGCTAGAGATGCAGTTGCTGCTTTTTGTTGTGGTATTTTGTAGCTACTGTCAGATTTTATGGATGTAAATCATAGTGGCAGCGCAGTGGTGAGAAGCTATAGCTGTGCCCAGAAAAATGATCCAAAGCATGTTGAAGTGGTTGGATGGCTGGCTGACAGAAAACTTCCCCATCCTTCCAGAGAATATCAACAGTTCTTTTAATTTCGTTGTGCTTCCCAAAGCTGATTTGTGTAATTTCTGCTGAGCTTTTCTGAGCAGTTTTTTGATGGGAAAATAAGAGGAAAGGTCATTATACTTTGTCAATATTAACTGTTTTTTTCTGAAGAAAAAACTGCAATTACCAGTGTAGAACTGAAATTTGTGTTTGGCCGATAACAGCTTGAATTCTGCACTTTTAGAAAAGGTGTCTAAAAGCACCTAATACAGTAAAATATAACAAATCCTCTGGGGGCCTAGAACATCTCAAATTAGGAAGGTAGTAGTTGGTAGTTGTTAAAGCACTGAAGTAATACAACAAGGCTTGGGAGAATGGATTAATTAGTTTGAAGGCAGTTCTTTGTTGAGGTGGGTGGTGACAGGTGAGATCAGTGCAAAAAGCAGCAGGTTGTTCCAAATCTGGTGGGCTTTGGGCATAGCCAGAACGCTCTCTTGGATAAGTGACCAGTGTCCCCTTTATTTCCATTCTTTGAGTGCCTTTGAGAAAGCTTTTGATTTTATTCTTTTCACACACAACTACACCTTTTTTTTTTTTTTTCTTCTTCAGAATATGTACCTTGTTTCTTTCTCAGAAATTTAGCAGGGATGACGTCTTTGTGCTCCTTTAGCCCTTCTCTAAACTGCTCATTCGATACCTTTGACCTTAAACGTTTCTCTGTGTCCCTTTCTCTGCAGATCACCTGTAAGATGTGGCAGCAGTGAGGCCCCTGTTCCTCCTGCCTTGGTGTGAGTGCAGTCATTGTTGGGCTTGGGTTGGCTCAGAGCTGTGGCATCAGTGACAGGGTGTCCTCTCCACCCCTGATCCCTGATTTATGTCCTGGAGTGCTGCTGAGTCCTGTGCTGGCAGCTCCATGGGCAGCCCCTGATTTTGCCTCCCTGAGGCGGTGCCAGGAAACCTCCCGAGCCGCTGCTGCCGTTTGAGCAGCAGTTAAACCACAGTCCTTGAGCGATGTACGTGCCCCTCTCTTATTATTTTAACACACTCTTTTCACAGCCTTATATTCTGTTTTCTTCTGCTGAACTCCACCAAAAGCAGAGAAGCAAACCACATCCACTTGTTTTTCATATCATGCACAAAAGCACTTAAAGATGTGGCACATCTTATATGTAGCCCACTCTTTGTATTGTTCATCTTAAAGCACTGAGCTGTCTTTTTCCACAACTGTTCTCTACGTATCAACTGACAAAACCTGTCTTTCTATTATTTCTGGTGGCAGTTTATAATCTTCTGAATCTTGAAAAACAGATTTTTTTGTGTGTGTTTTTTTTTAACTGAAGGCTTCCATTACAGGCAACAATCAAAGTGCTCTGAGAAACCTAGTGTGGATTAGGGAAGTGGCTTTGTCAGTGAAAACACTATCTTGTCAGTTCTGTCCTGTTTGAGGGACTGATGGTGTCACAGTTTATGGGCTTATTGTGTAAATGCTTGTAATCAGAGAAGCCTACAGATTTAGGCTATCACTCGTTGTCCTTGTTTTTTCTTCCTTGCTCATATCAATGGCTTGTATGTGGTGAAAGCAGCTTGTTGAAGTGCCATGAAGTAAAAGGAACAGATGTTCTATTTAAAGTTGCTTTCATTACAAATTCTTTTGTTTATTTATTTTTTTTAACCTTGCAGTGCTTCATCTTCAACTTCAGACTGACTTTTAGCTGCATAGTTCTCTAGCTGTCCTAGGTTGGATTTGTAGATCTGACAGAAAGAAGGGGTGCCCTGTAGAACAGAGAGACTGCCAAGGATGCAGTTTCAGCTGTTTGTGTTTCCTTTTCCTGGGATTTGTGTCGAGTTAACCAGGCTGTTTGTGTTTGTTCTGGCACACTGCTGATTTGTCACAGATTGTGACAGAGCTGCAGATTTTGTGGATTTAGACAGTTTAGAAGCATTGTCCCTTCACATGCTGTTTCTGTAGTTAACAGATTTAGGTCACTTGATCCATTAGTAAAGTTCAAAAGACATGTCTTTAAGATTTTTCTTAAATCCTTTTCCCACAAGGAAAGTCAGATTTCTTTTTTTTTCTTTTTAAATTTGATTTGCTGTTCATGTCTCATTCATTTACCAGCAGTCAGTCACGTGTGGAGTGGCCCACAGAGCCAGACCACAGCACTCAGTGATGTATAATGAAAACCGTGGTAACTTGGCAGGATGAGTCTTGTGGGTGGTAACGACTCGTGTTCTACAAAACACAAACAGATGACAACACCAGACCTGGTTTGCACAGCGTCACTCACATCTGGAGGACAGGGGGCTCAGACCGGTAACCAGACCAGACCATGTGGTGCCTCCTCAGGCTCTGCTTCCACGTGGTGTGGGATGTGTGGGTGCCCATCTTCTCTCAAAGAGCAATTAATTATTAATTACCATTGCTAATATTACTAAGCTGCCAGTGGCCTTGCCAGTCCTGTAACCCTGGGCCAGCCACATTCTGACTCCACCCAAAAGAAGACCCAAAATGTAACTTTTGCTGGCCGGTTCATTTTGAATTGCTGGGTGTGGCCAGCTCGAGCCAGGCTAACGCGGTCATGTCTCTTCTGTTTGGGGTGTGAGAGAAATAAACCTACTTGATTTTGAGCCAAGGCTTTCAAAGCATTGTATTCTAGGAATAAAAAGATCTGATTAATCAGCATTATGTATGCCTCTTACTCCTGTAGGATTTAGTGGGGCTGAGGACCCTCCTTTACCTGCGTACGTTGAACGGGATGATGATTTTCTGAATTTCAGAACAGTGGTTCTTGTAATGAGAGACTTACCCTGTGCACTTTCAATGCAAAGGAGA